TTCCCGCGCTTCTTCAGGGAGCCGCGGACCTGGGAGCGCATCAGGTCAGCGAATTTGGCCTTGGCGCGCTGGATGATGCCCTGCGGCAAATCCGCCTGCTGGGTCCCGATAGCGGTCGAGTGGGCCAGGGGCGTGTGCCCGAAGGTCTGGTTCTCGCGGAGCAATATGGGCACGGCCTCGTCCTCGAGCGTGCCCGGGACCTTGTCCGTGTTGGACTTGTGGCCGTCGAAGTTCAGGCAGCACGGGGAGTTGCCCAGGACGTTGTCGTCGGCGAAGTAGACCTTGAAGCCCTCGTACTTCGTGCGGTGCGTGATCCAGCCGTTGTCCGTCTGGAAAAGTCCAATGCGCGTCTTGTCCTTCACCAACGAGAGGTGGAAGGGGTGCGGCGCGATGTCCGTGGTGCCGATGATGCCCACGAGGATCCGCAGCAGCTTGCCCCCGAGCGTGAAGATGAGGAGCGTGATGTGCGGGCTCTTCTCGAAGGGAATCAGCACTTGCACCGCGACGTCGTCGCTCGGCACGAGGTAGGCGCCGGTGCTCGCGTAGGCGCAGAGGTCCAGGAATGTCTCGTCGTAGTTGCCGACGTTGTCCAGGGGCATCTTGCCGTACTGCTCCTGGAACGCGCGGAGCAAGGGCGCGACCAATTCCACGTTCTTCGTCAAGGCCTCGTAGTCGCACGCGTCGACGCGCTCGCGCGCGTGGCCCTGGCCCTTCTGGTTCTCGAGGGTCACGTCGTAGTCGCGCTTGGCGGCGCCGCAGATGCTCTTGAGCTGGCCGTCGACGCGCGTCGTCTCGTAGTACCGCTCCTTGGTCGACGGGTTGATCTTGCCGGTAGCGATGCACGCCTCGCGGATGATCGCCTTCACCTCCTTGGGCTGGAAGGGGCAGCCGTTGCGCTTCGCGTCGCAGACGGCGTGCACGATGGCCGCGCGCGCCGGCTTCGCGAGGAGCGTCGGCGCGCCCGCGCTGTCGAGCGTCTTGCGCTCGCGCGAGTGCTTCTCGACGTACCAGCGCGGCTTGCCCTCGACGCCGCCGCTGAGGTTCTGCTTCTCGCGCCACTTCTTGTCGTCCATGGCCCACCGCGCCATCGTGGCGTAGGGGATGCCGTAGGACTTGTCCTTCTGGAGCTTCGAGATCTTCAGTTTGCCGTCGTGGATGAGCTGGCCGACCTCGCAGATGGAGTGCGGCGCGCCCAGCTCCCCGTCGAAGTCGTAGCGCTTCGACGTCGCGTTGTAGGCCCCGCGGGCCTCGACGACGAGCTTGGCGCCGCGCGCCGCGGTCCCGAGCGCGGCCGCCGGGCCGGCCGTGATCGACCGCGGCTTCTTCTTCATGGGGCTCTTCGTCGGACTCTTCGGAGCGGGCGCCAGCGCGCGCGCGCGCTGCGCGTCCTTCGTCGCGAGCATCGTCTGGATCGCTGCCTGCGTGACGTCCTTGTCCGCGCCCGCGCGGCCGCGCTTCACCGCCTTCTTGGAGCGCGAGGCCTTCGGCTTCTCGAGGCGGATCTGCATCGTGTTATCCAGCTCGCGGAAGGCTCCGACATTTTTGACGCGGCCCAGAAGCTCACAGGCGCCCTTGCGAAGTTTTTTGCCGCGCACGAGCCCGCCGACGCGCCCATGCATAGCGGTGTCGCCTCCCAGGCGCTTGGGAGGCATCGTTTGAACGCGACGACGCCGGCTGAGGGCTGCCCGCCCGGGCGGTGCGTCTGTCCGAGAAAAGGGGTCCAAATTACAAAGATGTCCAAATTGCATGAAGCGCTGATAATAAGAGTCTTGCCCTTTATGTTTGTACAATAGTACCCCCCTGGATAAGCGCCCCCTTGTGTGACCGACCTCCCGCGGGCAGCTCCCCACCCCGCTGGATGCCGCCTCGCTTTAGTTCAATGCCGACGCACGAGTACTTTTACCTTTGACTTGGACGCGATTTCTTGTCGACGCATGGGAGTAGACGTCGTCGTGCTTCAGCCATATGGATACCGTTGCCGAGATGGAAGCCCTACGAGACCGCTTCTGCAGCAGGGCAGAGCTTAATCGTATGATGTCAGCTCCCGTCTCTCAAAACGCTGACACACATGATGAGCCGATTGCCGTGGTGGCTGCACCTGAGTCGGAACCAGAGCCTGAACCAGAGCCAGAACCTGAGCCGGACCCTGTGCTTAAACCCCGTCGACCCATGAGCGAGATTTTGCGGCGCAGGCTCGAGGACGCCTATTTTGCTGTCTTAGACTACTGCGACAGCCTACAGCGCATTTTGGAGCTGGCGCAACAGGCTGGCGACAATGGAGCCTCTCCGCGCGCGGTTCCTGTCCCGCGGCGAACTTGACGAGGGCCGAAACGCGCCCTGACGTTGCATCAAGTCTTGCACCGCCAGGGCGATCTCACTTCAAGACCACTACTTTACTTCCAGAGAAGTCTCCTTCCTCTGTTCTTTTGCCGACGCTCGGAGCTCTGTTCTTTTGCCTGCCTCTTTTGCTCTTCCTCATCCTAGTCCACTACCTCCATCCGTCCATTCTTATGTCTGCCTCTTTTGCCGCCCACGCGCGGCGCGCCGCCCACACACCTTAATTCCAAGTACAGGAGGTGGTCGAGTCGTTTCACGTCGAAGTCCGCGACGGGAAAAGGCCGGCGTCAGCTCGGCGAAGCGGCCCGCGTTGGCGGGTGTGCGCGGAAGCGCGGCCGAGGGCGAGTCCTCGAAGGCAGCGCCGCGCCGCGGGTCCGCACCCAGCTCCCCCACTGCCTTGAGGAACGGGTCCCGTGCTCGACGTCGCGGACATGGCGCAGGAGCGCGCGGCGCGTCATCTTCTTCTCGAAGGACGGGCGCGGCGTCGACCAGGGCGCGCGCCCCGAGGATCTCGTCGACGTCTCGGACGTCCCAGCGGGACGCCGAGCGCCTCGAGGATCGCCGCGGACCGCGCATTGAGCCGCGCGCCGACGATCGACGCTCCAGGTGAAGCCGTCGACGCCCAGCGCCTCGAGCGGGCCGCGCGGGAAGGTCACCTCGTCGATTTCGGTGCCGGCGCGGCTTCCGCTTTGTCGTCGACCCATCTTTGTCCTAAATCTGGGCGCGTCCGTCGCCGAGCGCGAGGTTGTAGTGGGAGATACGAAAAATCCGTCAGCATCTTGCTGGGCACCAGGTCCACCTCGTCCATGAGCCTCGCGTTGATGCGAGCCGGCTTGGCCGGCCCGTCGCGCGGTTCGGCCCCGGCCTCAGCGTCCCAGCGCCGGCGCCGTCTCCGCGTCCGCCTTGGGCGGCCGCGTTTCCAAAAATCCGTCAGCATCTTGCTGGGCACCAGGTCCACCTCGTCCATGAGCCTCGCGTTGATGCGAGCCGGCTTGGCCGGCCCGTCGCGCGGTTCGGCCCCGGCCTCAGCGTCCCAGCGCCGGCGCCGTCTCCGCGTCCGCCTTGGGCGGCCGCGTTTCCAAAAATCCGTCAGCATCTTGCTGGGCACCAGGTTCACCTCGTCCACGGGCACGCGGGGCGCGGCGACCGGAGCCGCGGTGGGCTGCGCCACCGACACGTCCAACCCAGCGTTCCGCACGTCCAGCGCCGCCGCGAACCGCAGCTCACGGCCGCGTCCGTCGTCCCCGCGCGCACCATGCCCTCGGCGCGCGGCAGCCAGTCGATGGGCAGCCGGAACTCGGCGCCCCCCGCACCGAATCGGACGGGGTCTTCGGGCGCTGCGCCCCGAGCGGGGCCCGCAGGCGCGCGGCGCCGAAGCGCACGTCGAAATCGACCGGAGACTCGCCCCGCAGCAGCCCCTCGTTGGCACACCATCGCGTCGCCTCACAGCCAATCAGTCCCACTAGATGGACTCTCGAGATCTCGAAATTTGCGAGACCTCGGGATCGCGAGCGACCTCTCTATTGTATGTAGTGCTCCCCACCAGCTCCTGTATTTTTTTTTTATGGGGTGGCATCCGCTCTTAATCGCCCTCGCAGCGTGCGCGCACGCGAAGTGGCACGTCATCCACGGCAGCCACACCAGCCACAACGAGCGCCGCGGGCCCGGAAACAACCGGTACCTCACCTACAACGAGACCGAGGGCCTCAACAACCAGCGCATCGCGCTGGAGAACGCGCGCCTCATGGCCATCCTGCTGAACCGGACCCTCGTCGTCCCGGACACGATCCCACCCCACGACGCCGGCGACCCCTTCCCGACGAAGACCTGCCGCGTCTTCACCTGCGACTCGCTGCGCGTGCCGTGGGTGTCGCAGCGCTACTTCGAGGACCACCGGAAGCGGTGGCCCACGCGGATCCGCGACGACGCGGCGCGATGCGGCGACGTGGCCACCTGCGAAGACTTCCTGCTCGATCCGCCGAAAAACGTGGTCGTCGAGGTCCCCGTTGACAAGACCATGTACCACATGAGCCTGAGTTCTCCGAAGCGGTGGGTCCTCTCGAAGATGAAGGACGACCGAGAGCTCAACCCCAACGTGCTGACCGTCAACAGCCGCCTGATCACCCGGGCGAAGATGATCGTGGACAAGCTCGGCGCGGCCTACGACGCGGCGCATCTCCG